TTGCTCCACTGAGGTCCTATGAATCTGGAACCATCTAAACATTATATGCTGGTTTTAGTCTTAATCACAAATAAAATATGTCATGTCATCTTATGTTTTCATCAGAAATTATTCAGGAATTAGTCTGATACACTTGCTACAATTCTATCTGTAATAACCTGCAAAAATACCTGTACTTATTTATCTGGCATATGCTGTTTAAGTCATTGAGCTGAGTACTACAAGGAGATGAGTGAAACACTTTGTGCAAGGCAGGACCAGATGCAGAAAAAGACCAAGCTGGCATCTCTAAGCCTAATTCTCCAGCTGGGAGTCACAACTTCGAGTTCCCTGCAGGGTGCTCAGAGAATTTAGCACAGTGGGCTTGGAAACAGCCATATCAGCCAGAAGGAAATGGAGAAGAGAACAATAATGTTTAAAATCCCATCTCTTTCCCAAATGTGATTTCCTGTAGATTCGCATTAGTCGCATATATGAAACTGAGATTTGCCACTCAAGATCTCATTTCAGATCTGAGTACATAAGTTAACCTAGAGACTCTGGTTATGTTTATCTTTTAAAATATTCTGTAATAACCTAAAGTGAGGTGAAAAGACTTAGCAAGTAAGAGAACTGAGTATGTTAGTTTGCATAAACCGAGAGGATTTAAAGCCACATTCCTCACTTGCTTAGAGTATGCTAACCAAAAAAACCAGCAAAAGATACCTTTTACCCCTTGCAGCAGTGTGTAAGAGCAAAAGTCACAGACTCACCAAGAAAGAGCGTACTTCTGTGGTCCAGGAATTAAGGTAACCAGCAGGTAAAGGACAATCTGTACCCTGTTCTCCAAAACCATGAGGGCCTGCATTTATACTCAGCTGGGAATCAATGTTAAACAAGTTTAGGTTGGAAGCTGGTCTGCCTGGCCAAGGATGGCATTGCTCAGTGTCTAAGGAAGTTTATTTAGAAGAGAATCTACCTACTGACTTTCAGAAGTGAGAAGCAGACTTGGCAGAGTACCCTGGGATTTATGGACTACATTCTACTCATGTCCCCTTAGATGTAAGCCTTTTTGTGGATCTGGGTCTTAGTGTCTTGAGATATTACCTGTGCTAAACAAAGATGATATGTGATATGTATTTCATTCAGTGCACATAAATCAAACCCACCTTGAACTCTGACAGTGAAAGCATTTCCATTCAACCAGTAACATTTAAAAATGTTTGTTTATATATAAGCAATCACTATTTATAAACTCTATTACTGTGCTTCGTTTAGATATTAATTAAATTATCCTTTATATTCTAGGCCTATTCCTGGTTGCAAGAAGAGATGGGACCAGATTCTGACCCTGTGGTAGTTATAAGATTTTTGGGATCCACTGAAACAAGTACAGATCTGAAGAATATACTTCAAAGCATTTGTGAACAATTAGCAGTCAACTATCGTTGTCTCATACAAAGTTACCCAAAAAAGATTCATGACCTTCGGGACTTGTTCATAAATCTCTTAAATGAGTCTTCATTTCACAGGCCACTGGTGATAATATTCGATGCTCTAGAACAGCTAACGGATAGTGATGATGGTAGGAAGCTCTGGTGGCTTCCCATTCACCTTCCCCGTTCAGTACGGATAATTTTGTCAACACTGCCAAACAAGCATGGGATCCTGCAAAAACTGAGGTGCCTTATTCATGAAGAAAACAACTACATTGAATTGACTGCAAGGGACAGGAAGATGTGTAGCCAAGTACTGAAACATCAGCTGCTGAGAGTTAAAAGAAAAGTAACATCAGGGCAACAAATCTATGTCAACGAAGCATTTTCCAAGTGCACACTCCCTATGTTTGTGAACTTAACCTTCAGAGAGGTCAGGAACTGGAGATCTCACAAAGATGTGGATGAGTCCTCCCTCTGTGTCACTGTCCATGAAAGCATAGAGCAGTTGTTTTGGTCACTGGAAAACAAGTGCGGATCAAGACTATTGTCAAGAGCACTTGGCTACATCACTATGTCCAAATCTGGCCTGAGTGAAATGGAACTGGAAGATATTTTAGCCCTTGACAACAGTGTTATGTACGAACTGAGTGAGAGTGTCAGAGAAAGTAACCCACTGAGAATTCCATATATATACATTGCAAGGCTTAAGGAGGGTTTACAGGGCTACTTAATAGAGCGACAGGTGAAAAATGTAACACTGCTTCTTTGGGCAAATAGGCACTTGCAACTAATTGCCCAGAAATTGTACCTGCACAATGAAGAAGACTTGTGTGAAATGCACACAGTCATGGCAGAGTATTTCCTTGGTGTTTGGTCAGGTGGACGAAGAAAACCTTTTTACAGCAATGACCAATATCTAAATGGGTGTCCTGATCGTGACAGTAGAGGCCTGAATGATGATGAAAAGCACTGCATGGATCAGGCTGCTTTTGACAGGCAGGCACCTGATCAGCCATGGGTCTTTCAGTGTAATCCATTAGAGCCTGATATCTTTTTTATCAATCACAGAAAAATGACAGAGCTCATTCATCACTTGACAAGATGTGGAAGAACAGATGATCTTCTGTATGGAGTCATTATGAACTTCAGCTGGCTGTACACCATGATTAGAATAGGGCAGTTTGATAAAGCACTTTCTGACATAGAACTGGCTTACACCTACTCTCAAGAAAAGGAGCTGAAATTTCTGGCCAGTACCCTCCGCAGTATAAAGTTCAAAGTAGTAAAATACCCAGGTTCGCTCTCCGCTGAATTGCAGCAGAGGCTTCTCCCAGTAGTAAGTTCATTGCCCAAACTCAGACATCTCCTTTTAGAATGTGACAAGGACGGACCCAAGTACTGCTCTATCGTCCCTTTGCATTCCTCCATGGATGTGACTTACAGCCCCGAGCGCCTGCCGCTGTCATCCAGCTGCATGCATGTCACTGAGATTTTGCCTACTTTCAATCCCAGCACAATTATTGCTGCTTTAGAAAATGGCTCCATCAGCACCTGGGATGTAGAGACCCGCCAGTTACTAAGGCAGATTACAACAGCTCCTTCTGTTATCTTAGGGATGAAGCTTACTAGTGATGAAAAGTATCTCGTAGTGGCTACCACAAAAAACACTCTTTTGATATATGATAACATAAATTCCTGTCTTCTGTCTGAGGTGGAAATTAAGGGGTCAAAACATTGTGGAATTGGGGGGGGTTCCAGTTTTATAAACGGATTTACGTTATCAGTCAACCATGCACTTGCTTGGCTGGAGGCCAGTAAAGATGTTACTGTAATAGATCTGCTTTACGGTTGGCCTCTCTATCACTTCCACTGCTGGTACGAAGTGACCTGTGTGCAGTGTTCTCCAGACGGAGTTTATGCATTCTGTGGACAGTATTTGAACACCGCAACCATCTTTCACTTGGGCAGTGGAGAGAAGCTGGCCACTGTGACCTCTGAATTTTCTGGTGGATTTGTGAAATTCCTTCTCATTCTGGACACAGCCCAAGAAATGGTGATGGTGGACAATGAGGGTAGCCTCTCTGTTTGGAATACAGAGGAAATCGCAAATCCCCAGCTTACAGATGACTTTGACTGCAGGAGAGAAGACAGTGAAGTTGTCAGCATAGAGCTTTCTGAAGACCAAAGTGCAATTTTAATTTGTAAGGCTCTCAGCATTGAACTTCTTGACACTCGTGTGTGGAAGGTGGCTGAAAAGTTTAGAGCTAAACATAATGAGCGCTTTATATCTGCCGTGTTGTCCAAAAATGGCAACTGTATAATTGCTTCAATGGAAAATACCTCAGCCATTTTTGTTTGGAGAAGAGATACGGGACAGTGTATGGCAAGCTTACAGGAAATCTCAGGAACTATAGTCAGGCTAATTAAATCAAATCATCATAACATGCTGCTATCCTTATCCACCAGTGGTGTCCTTTCTATTTGGGATATAGACATCATAACTGCTATGTCCAATATTGACAAATCTGGCAAGCCTATCCAAAGACTGGTGTTGCCAGCCAGAGGTGAATTAATATACACATTGGATGGCTCAGATTCTGTCCATAAGTGGAACTTCAGCACTGGATTTATTGAAGCCGTGTTCAAGCATGAAGGTATTGTTGAAAACTGTGTGCTGACCTCTTCTGGAGAGATAATGGTTACATCGGATGATAAATGCAGCCAGTATGTATGGCACACGGTTAGTGGTGAAAATATCTTTCGCATTAATGGACAAAAAATCTCGGAGCTAATGATTACTCATAACGATCAATTTGTAGTCTCTCTCTGCGAACAGAATGCATCCAGAGTTTGGCGACTGGCTACAGGACACAGAGTTTGCAATATTTTAGTTGCCTTACAGAATGCATTTATAACAACTGCAAATACATTCGTAGTCGGAATGGCAAAGAATAAAGTGTTGGCAGTGAGTCTCTGGACAGGAAGTATAACCAAGAAGTTCTGCTGTGATGACGGTGCAAGCATTGTGGATATTAAGCTGATACCAGACTGCCCAGATATTATAGTATTTATAACTTCTACTGAAACTGTGAACATCTGGAGCCTAACAGAGGAAGTCATCTGCAGGCGTGTACAATTACCTACCAATTTCTTAAAAAATTTGGAAGACTTTGAAATATCCCCAAATGGGAAGCTGGGAATTATAACCCGTGGTGATGAAAACATCAATGTGCTTGATTTATACAGTGGAAAACTTCGTGTGGTTCGTGCTCCAGGTGTCATCTGGCGGCAGAGGCTGTCTCGTGATGGCCGCTATCTTGTGTACATCTGTTTTCGCAGTGAGGAAGATGATGATAATGGTGCGGTCTCTAGCTTAATTGTAATGAGGCTAGCGGATGGCAAAAACATCGGTGCCTGTTCTCTTTATAAAACTCCCACTTTTCTTGCACTCTCACAGAGACATTTAAATATTATTATTGGATTTGATGATGGAAGTATAGGTACTTACACTGTAGTGGATCGAGTCGACGCTGCACTGAAAATCAAAATTGCTACTTCAAACAGCCGTCAGATTTTCAACAACACAACACAAGTAATTAGGCCAAAATGTCACAATTATAGCTTCAAAGTGACTGCAGACTGCATTTGGAGGGAATCAACAGAAGTATTTGCCAGGGATAGCCCCATTACAGTTACAGAGCCTGAGGTGAGTGAAGCAACACCAACCAAAAAACACAACTATTGCTATGAGAAAGTATGCTCAGCCATAGATTGCAGAGGACACAGTTTTGCTCCTGACAACTGAGTAACCATCTGGACCAGCTTATCTGAATAATAGTATACATGCATAGATTTGTCTTCTGAGTTCACATAAAAATGAGTGCATTTCTTGGAAGACAGACAGAAACAGCAGAGGGCAGACCAGCTGTTTTTTCCTCGACAAATATTCTTACATTTATGTAAACATAAAAATAAAGCAAATGGGCTGCAGGGTTTTTTAAATTTCGGAATACAAGGTTCAGTCCAGGATTTCACCAGGGCCTTGATTAAAAATTTCTAGCAATACTATCAAAATTGTTATGCTATTACAGAAGTTAGTTGATCTTATCTGGGATTGACAAACTGTTTTAACTAGAATGAAAGCTCCACATGATCGGTGAGAAGAGTCAGACCACTATTTTCTATACCAAGACGCCTAGATGGGTCTATAGCTAACAGCCAACTTTATACCCACTCGCAAAAATGTGTTTTTCTGCTTGATGGTGCAATGACAAGATGTCACCTGCCAACCTGGAACACTTGATACATTCCATCATCATTTAAAATATACCTACTTTTTTTTTTTTTTAATTGGGATTAATCTTTGGGTTGAAAGGGGTAGGTGCCAGTCAGCTGCAAACATGTCAACATGTGAGGTGATAAGTTTTTGTTCACCTCAATGAATGGACTGAAAGATATTTTTTTTTAATTGCATGCAGGGATTTCAGGTTTCTGTATTGTGATAAAAATGATAAAAACCTAGGTCATAAAAGGAATATAGGGTTTGGGGTTTTATTTTTGGTTTGGGGAACTTTTTTTGTCTTCACAGTGTGTATTAGTACAGGTCATAATGAAAACTTTTTCAAAGAGAAAGGGCGTTACAGATGAACAGTTAAACACATTAATTTCTTTACATTAAAAGGTTGCTATCCATTTTGTTGTAAGAAAGTCTAATGTATCTCCTATGTCCCTAAGTAATCTTAATAGAAAGTTTTCCAATGTGCCATGTACTAATCTTGATAACATCTGCCTTACTATCTTTTCTGTTCTTTCCCATGATAAATACAGATCAGATGACCAAACACTCTGGGACTGCTTGTATATGTGCTGAAATACTCCACTAAATGTAAAGGCTGTCCAAACATCTTTTACTGATCCAATTTGTAATGTTTTTTTCTTACTTCCACATACTTACAAACTTCACTTTCTGCTTTAGAACTGTTCTGAGCCTTTTGTACAGTTTTACCAGTTTCAAGGCAGAAATTGTGAAATAATGACAAATGCTTTTAAAAAATCACATTTTGCCCAAGAAAAAAAAAACAAAACTGGACAACATCTGAAAGGGTAAGATTCTTCCCTTGTTACATATCCTAAAGATGACACACCTATGGAAATATTTTTGAATTATTTAAACAAAACAATTTTATTTGTAAAATCAGAACTCCATGCCACAAATTTCCAAGAAATGAATGCTAAGCTAGAACTTAATGTAGTGTGTGAATGTTCAATGTACAAGCCAATATAGTATATTAAGTGACTTGAATGATTTTTCCTAACTTGTTTGCAACTAATAGATCATATTGAATGTTTTTATGTAAACTTTGTATTGTTGGGAAAACCTACCCAATCAGAGATTTATATTTTCATAAATGTCAAATTTAGTTAAATTTTGTTACAGAGTTGTTAAATTAGAAATCTATTGCAGTCTTCAAACAATATACAGTCTTGTGTATGCATTGTTTGTACTAATAAACTATGGAAACAGACTTGTGTGTGTCCCTTAATTTCAGGGAAATTTCACTCTGGCAGATGGACACAAGGTATTTGCAGCTCCCATTAGTCTGTATTTAAATAATTTTTAAGGGCTGTACTGGTAAGGAAAAATTCCAATATTTTTCCCACTTCAGTTAACTAAATCAAGCATTCAAAAAACAATGAGATTCACAAAAAATGCATGCTTAGAATCACAGAATCATAGAATCGTTTTGGTTGGAAAAGACCTTTAAGATCATCAAGTCCAACTCTTAACACTGCAAAGTCCACCACTAAACCATGTCCCTAAGCACCACATCTACATGTCTTTTAAATACCTCCAGGGATGATGACTCAACCACTTCCCTGGGCAGCCTGTTCCAGTGTATGATAACCCTTTCCATGAAGAAATTTTTTCCTAATATCCAATCTAAACCTCCCCTGGTGCAACTTGAGGCCATTTCCTCTTGTATCACTTGCTAGTTGGGAGAAGAGACTGACCCCCACCTGGCTACAACCTCCTTTCAGGTAGCTGTAGAGAGCAAGAAGGTCTGCCCTCAGCCTCCTTTTCTCCAGACTAAACAACCCCAGTTCCCTCAACCGCTCCTCATAAGACTTGTGCTCCAGACCCTTCACCAGCTTTGCTGCCCTTCTCTGGACACGCTCCAGCACCTCAATGTCTTTGTTGTAGGGAGGGGCCCAAAACTGAACCCAGCACTCGAGGTGCGGCTTCACCAGTGCCAAGTACAGGGGGACCATCACTTCCCTACTTCTGCCAGCCACACTATTCCTGGTAGAAGCCAGGATGCTGTTGGCCTTCTTGGCCACCTGGACACACTGCCAGCTCATAGCTGTTGACCAACACCCCGAGGTCCTTTTCTGCCAGGCAGCTTCCCAGCCACTCTTCTCCAAGCCTGTAGCATTGCCTGGGGTTGTTGTGACCCAAGTGTGGGACCCGACATTGAGCCTTGTTAAATCTCATACAATTGGTCCTGGTCCATCAATCCAGTCTGTCCAGATCTGCCTGTAGAGCCTTCCTACCCTCAAGCAGACCAACACTCCCACCCAGCTTGGTGTAGTCTGCAAATTTACTGAGGGTGACTAGGTTGCATAGTGCTAGTGTGCAAGTCAACAGACACAAAGGCTTGTGTAACTTATCCAGTAGAAAGCACAGAAGAGAGAGGAGCACCTGAAATCCTGCTCCCCTTCTGACCTGTGGAGCTATGGGAAGGGGTTGTGGGATCCACACCTCCCAGGATCCTGTCCTGAAGGTAAGCAACTTCCACCTTCTTTCAAACACTCTGCATGACTCACACATTTCAGCCTTGAACTCCTTGTGCATAACCTGCATAATGTTGGAAAGTTAGTTCCTTCATTATCTTGAAAGAGTAAAAATACATCTCCTGTCTGCCAGGAGAGTGGCTAACTTCGGATAGTAAAGGAGTATAACATAGAAACAAAGCAAAACACAGAAACAGAAATGTTCGTCCTTTTTGGGAAGCACTACCAGAACCCAGGTGGTCCCAGCTCAGCTTATCAATATGAGTGGCTTATCAATAGAGTACTCAGACTTGCTCCTCTTGTTTTCTGGCTCAAGGAACTTTGTGGTCTTCTGCACAGTGGCACATTTTCTTGAGGCAGGAGATAGTCCCCAGCAAAACAGAGGATCAGCCTATAAGTGAAAGCAGTCTTCCCTTCATCTCAGGCCAAAGAGGGAATTGATTTTAGGTCTGGTCCAGTTGGTGAAAGCAATGGGCTGACACATGAAAGCAGTGATGCAGTATATAAAAAGGCATGGGTGTTCTTGTTGTGCTTTGAACCTTAGTCTCTTATGTTCTAACCAAGGACAGCAAGAGTGGGGCAGCACTACTAATTTTCTTAATTGTAAAACAATGAGAAAGACAAACATGAACATGACTCCTAATCCACTTAAGCCCTTCAGCCAAGTATTGGGTTACTAATCTCATTGAAGGAGTCCTGTCCCTCCTCATAATTTATCTGTGTCTTAATGGATAAACTATCTATCTCATTCAGCTTTCCAGCTTTCCGAATCTGTTTCTTAGGGGTCAGACTCCTCACACTGAGCCTAAGCAGCAGACACGGGTTTCCAAATGACATTAGACTGCTATAGGCTGCTATAGGTGTCCAAATACTTGCTACTGCAAGAGTGAGCACTCCACAACCCCTCACAAATCTGTCCCCAAGTACATCTATGGAGTGGTACCAGGACAAAGTAGTTTAATAATGAGCCATCCAAATGCCAAGTACTGTTCTATCCCTACATAAGAATAGAGCAATTTACTTTCCTTTAAGGAGCACTATTTGCATATCGAGAACAAAGCTTTCATTTATTCTTTATCTAAAGTGCATCAATAAACAGGCTCAGATGAGGTCCATATTTTCTGACACAGGAGATTCTAGGAATAGGCTGTAGCTGCAAGAAAGCTTTAGAGGGGAATTAGCCGGAAATTCTTTGGCAGACAAAGGTAAGCCGGAGGTCAGCTAGAAAAAATATTTTTATCAGTCATTTCCTTTGCACCACAGCTGGGGAATGCATGGCCCGTGACTTCATTTCATACAGCCTGTGGCCATTCGACTTTTTTCACATTATTATCAGATAACATCAAAATGTGAGTTAACATGTTGCCTGGAAAAGGCATTCAGAAGGCATTCAGGTTTCAGTAGTTCCCCAGCCCTGATTTCTCCATGCTGCATACTCAAGCCCTGTACATAAACCTGTGGAAACAGAAGTTTTAGCCATCTAGCAAAGGGAATTTTAAAAAAATCCATCGCTATAATGGCGTTCATATGCAGGGGAGACTATAGCAGCCCCAGATCAGCTTAAAATCCTGTGATTTTGCCCTTTGCCAAAAACTTCTTGCGTGTATCTGTATGATACATCATAAAATGGGTCCTTTGAGTCATTACCATTAGGCTATTAGCAACAGTCTGCATTGTTTTATTTTGTTGATTAAGGATTAAAAAAAAATTTTATAAATTATTTTTTATGTAACCATAAAATTGATTATGTAATCATCCAAATATGGACTAGGGCCTTTGGATAGTTTTGGTTATCAAGGATTTGTTAGTAAGAAATTTTATCAAGCAATTATGCTACAAACGTGACCTACTTCAAAGCTCCTGTACCCTGTTAAGAACGTTACTCGGTATCTCTTCCTGGAAGAACACGTCACTGCAGGTGACGTGCAGTGTGATGAGCTACATTTTTTCCCGTGGTTTACCTTTCCAGCCTGGTCAATAAACACCACACATCACATTTTGGAGGTAGTTTCCTGACTTATACGATGTGAAGTGATGCTCTCAGTGTGGGTCTAAATCATAGTCTCAATTCTCAGTTTCAACAGGGAGGTCAAAAGCTGAATAAATAATCATCACAATCCTTCCCAGGGTGGGATGAGGCATTTTATCATGTGCTTCTCCAGAAGGAGCAGTTTGCACCACCATCCTTCTTTGAAAAAGGGATTTTCACTACTGAGGACCAGCTACGCAGTGCTAAATTCACTTGAAAACACACGCCAATAACCAGAATAGTGTGAGGGAACATTTTCCCGAGATGTCCAGCAGAATGTGTTCTTAAAATCACAAGTGGTTCCCAAAGTGACTGTTAAAATCTGCCCCTAGCAAGCTCTTCTCCCTGCCTCTGCGGCCCCCTTATCCCAGGCCCACGCTGCTCCTGTTTACCAGGGAGGGTGATGGTCCCATCCCAACCCAGCAAAGCCCCTGACATGTTCCCAGCCATGGTACACTCTCCACCTGCCTTTTTGGCAGCACACCGGTCCCCTCTCCAGCCTCAGCAGGGAATATACAAAAGCAGATTTAAGGCATGGTCACATATTCTCACTGTCATAGCTTTCACCACACAATACTGCCACACCAGCATGGGTCTTACTTTTATGTAGAATATA